CCTGTTACATCCCCTTGTGGTTGTGGTTTGCTTCTTCCCTCTCTTTTGCTCTGTACGCCGTGTTCCGGGCCTCTCTGCTCTCCTCCATGTCACCGACCACAACGCCGCAGGGGCCTGGGCCAAGTGCACAGCAGCCCTGGAGACCTTCCCAGCGTCTGCCCCACCACCACGATCCATCGTGGCAGGAAGCCACCACTGCCCCTGGATTTGTCTCCACACTGCCCCGCTCAGTGCCCAGCTCCTTGGGGATGGGGCAAGGGGGTCGCGATGCCACGTCTGCTCTCCAAAATGGACGGTACTCCAGGACAGCCCGTGGCTCTGAGCAGCAGGCGGCCCTGGCAGAGGCCTGCGGTGCTCACGAGGCGAGGCTTTGGCACACTCCCTGGCACACGACGGTGGCTGGCACCAGCTCCATCTGCCATCCCCTCCTTCCTGGCCAGCCATACCCAGATCCACCTCACCCTGAAGGCCTTGCACAGAATTCTGCCCATAGCCACTGCCCAAATGCTTCCCCTCCTCCATCTGGTCAGAGCTTGACACAACACTCACCCTGGCTGCCCACCTGGGTGAGAGACACAGCCGTTGAAAACGAGTGGTTGACTCAGCCCGGCACCCCTACCCTCGCCACCACCTATCCTGCTGCTGATTCCATGCCCCCTATGCACCTTGCTGGTCCCTTCTCCAGCTCTGAGCAGTCAGACACCCTGCCTGACGCCTGCATACCTGTGTCAGCCTGGAGTGCCCTGCCTGGCCCAATGGCCTCCTCTGAGCTCTTGGAGATTAGCAGCCCCTCCAGGATTGATCATTCCTGGGGTGCAGGGGAGACCAGCCCTGATCAATCTCACTTCAGTCTCCAGCCTGAGACTCCCAGACCACACGAAACGAGGCTGCACGCCCTGATGCCTGTCCCAGGGCAGTGGGTGAGGTGCTCTGCCTCGCTGGGTCTCAGTGCTCTAATCTGCACTCACAGTAGACAAAGGCCGGTCTTGGTGGGCTGTGGGAGACTCCTACGTCCCTCTGAATGTCACAGCAGCTGTGCTCAGTGGGACCTACCCTGGTCCTCTGACCCCAACATCCCTGCCAAGACCAAGTTCTGCACCCTAACAGGTGCATTTGAAGGGGCAGAGCAGGTACCTGCAGACAGCACCTGGGTCCTCACCATGGAGCCACATGCAGTGCTCCACCCAGGGCCCCCGTGACCAATGCACGATGGGGTGACCCCTCGGCCCCTGAAGCTGGCATAAGGGCCCCCATGCATCCCCTTTTTCCTGCCACCAAGGCAGTCCATGTGGGACTCCTCTCTGCTCTCACCTTCTGCCAGAGGTCTTCTCACCCTCATTCACTTCCTTCTCTTTCTTCTCCTTTCCTACCTGGTGGGACTGTTCCTAGCAGGAGACCCTGACAGCCTCTCACCCAGCATCCTGCACCCTGGCTTCCTGGGCCAGCAGGTTCAGGCCAGGCCTCAGCGCACCTCATGACCCTGAGAACCCCCACAAGCTCACTCATCTCAACAACTAACTCCCCTGGCCATGGTGGGCAGCAGCCACTCTCACTGCCATACTCCTGCCTACCAGGACTGCAGCCTGCACAGCCAGTGCTGTGGGCAGAGGAGTCTGATCCCACGCATCACCCATGGCTCGGGCATGAGCACTGCCCCTTTCTTGGATCCCTGCGCTGCCCAGGGGCCACATGAATGCTTCTCACCCTCCAAGTTCCTACCTGTAGCCCCTGTGCCCACCTGCATCCTCTGCTGAGCTGCTCCTAGTGCTCTGCCGTGTCCCTGGAGGCCATGCCCCTCAGGTGTCCCCTTGAGGCTCCTGCAGCAGCATCAGGTATGTGAGTCTCCGGGTGCCCTGGCGCCCTGCTCGCTGCTCGCTGCCCGATCTACCCAGCTCTGATTTGCCGGCTGGGACTGGAGCCGGAACCACAGTCCTCTGGGTCTGGCCCTGACACCCTGCCCAGGGGGCTGGGCCACTTGGTCCCTGTACCCCCTGCTGCCGGCTCAGCTAGGCTCTGGGACAGGCGGGCTCTGGCTGACAGACCACCCGGCCTACAGTGGTGCCGCCCACCAGACGCCCGTCCCTGCCAGGGTGGGAGCCACTCCACCCTCAGGATCCCGGGCCTTGGATGGGCCCAGTAGCCACGCCCCTTTGGACACTGTGGTTTGGAGGCCTGGCTTCTCCACCCCCCTGGGGCCAGCCCAGCACACTAGCAACCCCATCCACTGCCCTACTGGCCATACTGGGGTCCCCGGAGGACTCTTGCCCAGGTGCTCGAGGTGGTGCCTGTCTGAGGGGTCTAAGAGCCCCGGGAGAGGACAAGAGAGAAATGACCATGGTGCCTGCAGGTGGATGTGTGCCTGAGACTCGACAGGATAGAGGGGACTCATATCACCCTAGGGTCAGCCATGGGGATGCCAGCTGAGCGACCCTCAGCTCGGTCTCTTCACTCTGTGCCACCTGCAAGGCACTCCTGGACAGCCCAGCCCCGGCCAAAGCCAGGCCCAGAGAGAGCTGTAGGACCTGGTAGGCTGCTGAGTATGCAGTTGACCTGGGTGCGTGGGGGGGGGTGTGAGGTCCCCGACCACTTGTAGGTCTCTGGCCTATGGTAGCTCTGGGAGGGCCTTGACTCACCAGGGGCTGGCAGGAGAGCTGTAGGGTCGGGGAAGCTGTAGACACCTGGAGGGTCTGGGTGCAGGGAGTCAGTCCTGAGGTTCGTTCCTGCCAGTCAGAAGCCTTGTGCTGGATGAGGCTGAGAACAGGCAGCCTGGAAGGAACCCTGTCTGGGTGGCCACATGCAGAGTCCCCAGATCACACCCAGATTTAGACAAGGAGAGTAGGCGGGGGAGGGGGGCGGAGGACATTTTTCCTCTGGCCCACGGCATACTTTTTAACCAGCTCAAACTGGATTTAATTTACACCCCGCCATGGCTGGTACCCAGCTGCCCCTCCGGAGCTTGTCACAGAGGAGTCAGGAAGAGAGGACCCTGCTCCCAGGCGTTGGTAGGAGAGTGCAGGGGTCCCCAGGTGGATGTGGGAGACAGGTTCACCAGTTCCTGCTCGGTGACCTTGAGCAAGTCACTGTACCTCTCTGAGCCTGGTTTTCTCACCCGCCAAATAGGGACAAGGAGGCCTGTCCTCAGGGACCGAGGAAAGTGGGAAACATTGGATGCTGTGGAGATGTGAAACATGGTCACTGTGCAGGATGGGGTGTCGCTGTCCTGGGTGGTAGCATGCATAGGTTTGCATGCATTTGTGTGTGAGGGTCAACTTGGGGGGGTGTGCCCCCACGACAGGGTCAGGACTCTGAGGGAGAGCAGGTCAGTGTACACCTGGGTGTCACCACCTGCAGTTCATCATGACTTGTCCACCGCTGGACAGGCACATTTCAGTTGTCCTCCACCAGGGCCTTTCCCCTGTGCCTGCCCTACCCTCCCACAGTGGAATTCCTGGGGAACTCAAAAGGACAGCTCTCCTGCCCGGGTTCTCAAGGCTGGCCCCAAGCAGGGGCCCAAGGCCATGTTGGATGCAGCCCTCACCCCAATTGCCCTCAAGAGCCCCTCGGTTAGCGGGGCAGAAGCCTGGCACTGGGCAGGCCACAGCTGGATGAGTGCTTGCAGTCAAGACCTCCTGTGATGAGTGGGGACTCATGCAGACACACAGCTAGCCCCCAAGGCTCTTCCTGTCACCTGTTCACCCCTCCCCAGAGTGCTGGGTTCCTTGCTTTTGGACTTCAGTATCTCCATTTGTTAAGTGGCACTAATGAGCTGGGGTATTGACCCAGGTCCCCTCAATTCCCAAGTCACATAGCACCCTGGGGGAACAATGGGGTCTTCTGAGGACATATCCAGCCAGGCAAGAGAGGAAGTGTGGCCTGAGACAGGTGGTCTTGCAGAAGGAACTTTAGCAGACTGGGGCTGAGCCTGGACAGGACTGAGGCACTGCAGGAGGTGGCTGGCGGAGCCTGGGGGAGGATGAAGCTACAAGGGAATGTGGGTGCAGGGCTGCTTCAGAGCCTGGTTCTGGCCCTAACCCTGGGTGGCAGGTGGCTGGGACCTGAAGAGAACTATCTACCTCTACATGGATCCCATAAACAAGCTGGTGTGTGCGGGCAGTGCTGGCTCCAGACTCTGCTGATGCCAACCCACCCCCCCAGTCTGTGCTCTCCCATCTCATCATGGACAGCCAGGACTCAAGTGTACAGGAAGGGGGCTGCTGAGACATGCCAGCCAGTCTCACCCTCCAGGAGCTCAGGTCTAGCCAGCCTGCTCTGGGCACAGAACGGGTCAGTGGAGAATGCGTACTGGGCTCCCAGACAGAGAGACCAAGCCAGGCCTTCTGGAGGTGGCATTGCAGCTGGGCCTTGAAGCCTGGAAGGGTTGAGGAGGAAAAAGGCATTGGCGGCTGCTCAGAGGAAGGTGGTGACCATAGGGAACGATGGCTCTCTGCTCTCTCACCAGGACCACACAAGATAGATGCACCATACCAAACTTCACACAGGAAGAAACTGAGGTTGAGAGAGGCCTCTGCAATGGCCCCAAACCTGGCAGCTAGTGAGCCAGCATTCCGAGGCCTCAACTCTTGCCGTGGCACCAGAGAGTCCCATGCAGACCTGGAGTGGCAAGGACTGGCCATGGCCCGAGGCTGTAAAATCGGTCTATCATCTGTAAACTGAGGGGCGACTGAATGGTCCCCAGGGCCCAGCGGGACAGCGTGGGGGCCTCAGAGCGCAACCCAAGGGTGTACTCTCGGTCCTAGGGACATGAGGGAGGCCCGTGAGGCGAGAATGCAGTGGGCAGGTGAGAGGCAGAAGAGCGCGCTCTGCTGCCAGGACCAAGGTGGGAGGCGGCCTCGTCTGTTTGCCTCGCCAAGGCTCAACGCTCGCTCGCACGTGCGCACGCGCCGGCCTGGTGCAGCCTCAGGGCCCTCATCCCCGGCACGGGGGCTCCACTCTCTGCCGGCCACGGGCGGGCACCCTGCCCTGGGCCAGGAGGGACCTACCTCAAGAGCTTCTCCAGGCCCTGTTTGCTAGAGCTCTTCCTCAGAAGCACGGAGCCGCTCATGCTGCTGACCTGGCCACCCTGTGCGGGCGACCTGGCCTGACCCCGGCCCTGGGGATGCTTCTTCAAAGGCTCTGTCCACCGCCGCTGGCGCCCGCGGCCTCCTCTGCTCTGCTGTGCTTTCTTCCCTTCCCTTCCCTTCCCTCTCCTTTTTGCTTTCTTTTGTTTTTTTTCTTTCTTTCTTCTTTTCTCCTCTCCTCTCCTCTCCCCTCCCTCCCCTACTCTCTTTCTGGGTCCCTGTCCTTCTCTCTGTTTTCCTGTCCCTCTGTCAGGACCCCTGTCCCTTTCTCTCTCTAAGCCTGGCTATGTGGTCTCTCTGCCTCTGACGCCCCCTCCTTGTCCCCTCTCTGTCTGGTTGTCTGACGGGTGTCCGTCTGTCTCTGTGACCTTGTGTCTGTCTCAGCCCCTCTATCCCTGGGGCTGGGGGGTCTCTGGCTGGTTCCCAGCTGGCAGCCCCCCGGCCTGTCCACTGTCCCTGGGCCCCTGTCTCTGTGGGTCTCGCTCCCCTCTCCTTTCTCAGGACGCTTTGCAGCTGCTTCCCTTTTGTCCCCCAGCCCCCTTCTCCGCCCCTCAGTCTCCTCCACCTCCACCTCCTCCTCCTTCCGAGACTAGTAAAAATGTCAGAGAGAAACCCTCCCAGCCCAGCCACGTGGGGGCCTAGCCGGACCTCTGTACCCCACTGATGGGCAGCATGGCTGTCTCCTTCCCTCCCTCCTTCCTCTTCCCCTTCTTCCCTTGGCCTCTCCCCTCAGGCTGCTTGGCCTCTCACCTCCCCGGCCCACTACTCCATTCCTCAGAGTGCCTGGCCCACCTCACCCCCATCTGCAGTGCCCTCTCCCCTGGCCTGGCCTGGCCTTGTGCTGGCCCTGCTTTTTGTGGTCCTGCTCTCCCTAACCTGCTTCTGCTTTTCCTCCCACGGGTCTGGGCCCTCTGCCCCTCCTCTTGCCCCTGCTCCCCTTCCCTGCCCTCAGCCCCTCTCTCTTCTCTTCTTCCCCTATGGTGTTTGGGTCCCTATCTCTGTATCCCTCCTTCCTTCCCTCCCCCATCCCTTCCTCTCCCCTCTCCCCCTCCCCCTTCCCTCCCTTCTGTCCTCCCTCCACCCCCCCTTCTTTCCCCTCCCTTGAGTCTCCGTTTTCCCTTTGTTTATTCCCAGCTCTCCGCTGGGCTATCATCTCTAGCAGGAGTCCGGGCACCCCAGGAATCTTCCCTGGTCCCCAGCTGGGAGGCCACTGTTCTCCCCATTTCCCCAGACTGCACTCTGAGCAGAGAGGCCCTGGGAGGCACAGACACCAGACACACACCATCTTCACGTTGGGAGTTATGGTCCCCACAGTGGTCATGGGTACTAGGTCAATTGGTGCCCTCACCAGCCATACTCCCCCTTGTCCTGTCCTCTGGCCAAGGCCCAGGGACAAGCAGCCCAGCCCATTGTTTTCCTGGTTGGGCTTAGTCACCGTGACTCACTTGAGAACACGGGAGGCTAGTGGCTGGACAAGGGGAGGAACAGGACTCATTTGTGGCCAGTCACTGTGGGCCAGCTCTGGACTTGCAGGCTTACATCCAGTAACTTCCCAGCTCACTCACTCACACTCACAGAAATTGAGAGGCAATGCCACTGTACCCATGCGCCAGATGGGAAAACTGAGGCTCAGCCAGCCATCATCACTGTGTCCCAGGTCACAGAGCCCAAGCCCCATCAGAACCAGGACCACAGCTGGGTTTGGTGACTGTGGAGCCCCTAGCACTGCCCCAGAACATCCTGTGTGTGCAGTCAGCCTGCTCCCAGCTACCCTCTGTCCCCAGGTTTAGGTAACTGGCACATCCCTGGGTAGAATGACTCTGGCTAGGCCATGGGACACCTGGGGAATAACGTTGATGGAAGGTGAGGTTGTCAGACAGATGAGTGGTGAACACATGAATAATTCACCATGGGAAGTCAGTGTGCATGGAGGCATCAGGAGTAGTGGGGGAAATTCCACGCGAGTCCACAGCTCTGGTCTGCAGCGAGTCAGGTGGTGGCTGGTGGGGGCTGAAGGGTCAGGAAGTCTGCACTTCCAGACCTCCCCATGAACACTGCAGGTTGACCCCTCGGGCCAGTCCTGCACAGGGAGCTCACAGGACTCCCCTCCCTCTGCACCTCCCAGGAGGAGCCAAGGAACACTAGGTGTACAACATAGATAGCTGTGTCCACCAACCCCAGCACTGCAGAGCTGCCGAGCCTCAGGGCTCTGATGGAATAAGGACAGGGGTGAATGGTGAGGGCTGAGCCTCTGGGTGAGACCATATTCAGCATATCACCCAGAGGACCCCGGAGAAGCCAGGTTGCATTTCATCTGTCCTTAACATGCCCATCTCCTGCTCCTGTCCCAACCACAGACAGCCAGAAACAAAATGTGGCCAGGGCAGTTTTTGTTCAAAAGAAGGAAAAAAATGTAACCACAGAGAAGAGAGCTGCCTTGAGATGGTGGGAGTTCCCTGTTGCTAGAGGATAGCCCACAGTCCAAAATATTGACAGGTGGGAGTGGCCAAGATTCATGGTTTTACAGCATGGACATGTCCTAGTATGGACATGTCAGCTTTACTATTATTTGTCCACCCAGATATTTGCCCACCCTTCCATCTACCCATCCACCAATTGATTTGTCCATCCTTCCATCCACCCACCCATCCATCCATCCATCCATCCATCCCATCCATCCATCCATCCGTCCATCCATCCATCCATCAATTCATTCCATCCATCCATCCATCCATCCATTCATTCCATCCATCCATCCGTCCATTCATTCTATCCATCCATCCATCCATCCATCCATTCATTCATTCCATCCATCCATCCATTCCATCTATCCACCCACTCATCCGCTAATCTTCCATCCACCCAGCCATCATCCTCTATCTCCCTCTCATCCATTCATTTTTCTCTTCATTATTCCTGTCTTTCAGTGTGTCCTTTCATCAGTTCATCAATTCTTCAACAAGCCTATCCATCCACTAATTTATATAAATACAATGCATCTTTCTATTCAATCAACTCAAGCATCCATCCATACACATATACCCATGTTCATCTACCCCTCTTTACATTTTTCCATTGAGCAAGTATCCATCCATCCATCCATCCATCTGAATGTCTTAATACCTGTTAAACACTTAGAAGCATTTGGCAAACCTTCATCCATTTAGAACACAATAGCCACTCATTACTTGTTAATTACTCTCTCTAGATGTTCACCCATCCATCTGTATACCGATTTGCCTAACTAGGATGATTTTTTTTTGTTGGCAGTGGTGGGGCTTGAACTCAGGGCCTCCTGCTTGCTAGGTTAGTGCTGTACCATGTGAGCCATTCCACTAGCCTGTTTTGGTGTTGATTATTTTCAAGATAGGATCTCATGATCCTATTTACCCAGGTTTCGAACCATGATCCTGCTGATCTCTGCCTCCTAAGTAGCTAGGATTACAGGCATGAGTGGCAAGATGATGTCTTTAATTCATGTTTTAAGCTCCAAACATTCTTTTGTCCTTTTCATTCATCTATCCAAATGTTCTATTTCTCTACATCATGCACATTCATGCTTCATTCATGCATCCGTTTACCCATCTTCCCCATCTAGCAAGCCACACGTTAAATTGTGTGCACATATCTATGTGCATCTTTTTGTACACAGAATCATCCAAGCAAGCTAATGCTTAAACTAGCTACTGGAAGAAAGCCCTCATCCCTCACTACTGACCATTTCCCTTCATCCCCTTGCTCATCCAGCCAGTCATTCTTCCAGTCACCTCCCCATTTACATCTTCAAATATTTGCCCACCAATCCAATAGTTACACCAACAGATTTGCATTGAACTCCAGGCACTTGTAAGGCACGGGGGATTCCCTGCTCTCACGATGCTGACATTTTAGTGGGAACAAGAAAATAAGCAAATATATACTGCAATGTATCCGTAAATGCTACAGAAAAAATAAATCAGGTAAGGAGATATAGAGCTCTGGGGAAACTGATAATTTGTATACGACAGTCAAGAAAAATCCCAAAGGAAGGAATAAGCATATCCTTATTTGAAAAGAGACTTCAGAGAGAGAGAGGGAAAAAAAGCACTCCAGGAATAGAATTCCCGATTGAAAGATATCTGTTCACTTACTATGTCTTAAATGGTTCATCCAGCACAGTTCATTAATTTATTAACTATTCATTTATTTTTTCCACCCATCTGTTGTTATATTTCTCCATTTGCATATCTGTCCATTTAGCCATTATTTTTATATATTCATCTCTTGATATCCTTCTATTAATCTATCCATTCATTCATTTGTCCATATTCCATCCATCTACTCATCCACCATCCATTCTTTCCTCCCATGAATCCATCTTCAAATCCATCCATTTACCCATTACTATACATAGTCACCCATCATCCCAACTATCCACCCATAGATCCATTCATCTATCCAGAGCTTATAGCCAGCTGATATTCATGGGAATAACACAGCTGAATATATGAATATAATCACAGTTGAATATATGATAAAACTTTAATCAACTGACTAAAACCATGATCTGTTCTGATATATTAATTTCTATATATATCATAATCATTATTAAATATTTTAAATATCTCTTCTACATTTATCCATCCACCTGTCTGTCCATCCACCCATCCATCCACCCACCCACCCATCCATCCATCCATTCATCCACCCACCCACCTACCCATATAGCTTCCATCCATCCATTCACCCATCCATTCATTCATCCACCCACCCACCTACCCATATATCAATCCATCCATCCATCCATCCATCCATCCATCCATCCACCCATCCATCCATCCATCCATTTTTCCTACCTCTTACCCTTCTCAGCCCACCTTTCCATTTATCAATACTTTTCTCCATCATTGATTCATCATTTATTTCCTTTCCTCTGTGACTAAGACATGGTTCATCGGTTCATGGCCCAAGAATAAAACGAACCTTCAAGGCCCAGGTAGCCAAGTACCACAGTAGAATCTAGATAGGACCTGGAAAGTATGGCTCTGCCCCTTGCTCACATATTCTCATTATCCCCAATACAGATTCTGGCAAATATATGCTCACAGGGCACTGTCCAGAAAAAGGGGCAGTGAG